ACTGTCACTGTGTCTCTTAGTCTGTGTTGCCTGTTTTCCCCTCTCCAGGAGCAAAGGAACCCCACCAGACTCTGTGTGACAGATAGTCAGAATCCTAGGTAAATTCTTCCTGGCCAGCATTGGACCCTGTGGTTGATGGAATACCTGTTTAGTTTACCTGGCTGTTAGTAGCTACTGCAAAACTATAAACTCAACATGGAACAGTAGACTATGTCATTGTTCTGAGAGGAGCAGAGCATCCATTGGTGGGAGGATCTCTTCTGTGCTGCCCCTGCGGTAGTTGTTTTCTACCAGTTGTTTTCTCTGGTCAAAAGTAAGAGCTGTCTGGGTAGAAGGGATTCTCAAAATGAAATTTGAGAATTAAATACTCCAAATGCCAGATAATAGATTGAGTTGAGTTTCTAGAACTTTAGGGAAATGAATGACAAAATAAAAGCTACCCCTGTGAACCTAAGTGACAGCCCAGAGGATACACAAGTTGCTGCCGGATGTTTCTTAAAGCTGGGTTATACTAGTGGAGGAGGGTGGAGAGGTGTAGGGGTGCAGCTTGGCTCCAACAGGACAGGTTGAGGGCCATGAATAAGGTTACCGCCACTCGGGTCTGACCCTCCAAGTCTCTGCCATGTGTAGGGCAAATATTCTTGACCTTGAAAGAGGCCAGCAGTATACTGTTGCTACACCCTCAAATATTAATTTCCATGAGAGCAGTAAGTTCAAAACATAGTAAAAATCCATAATATCCCCCACTGACTAGAAGACTCCCCAGAAGGACTTGGTGTCTAAATTATATGCACATCTACATTCTTTTCATTAACTTCTGCTCTCACTATTTCTCAGGAATTTTGTTTCCTTTGGGCTTTGGGGAATAAGAAAACAGACCTATCACAATCACACAACTTCTTATAGTTGTAAAACTGTACTTTATAGTTTGTAGGGAATTTTATCTTGCTTCATCTTTACTACTGTAAAGTTAGTTGATGGTGATATTTGTGATCATTAGCAACATCTCCCAGTTTCACCCACAAGGAAACTGAGGCTCAACCAGATGGAGCCACTTTCCCTAGATCTTAGGGACCCCAGGTCTTCTAGCTCTGAGCACAACCTTCTTTCTCAGCCTCACCTTGAAGGGGTGAGGTATGAAGGATATTCAAGTTCAGAATGAGTTGCTTCTGCTTTTCTTTCTCTTCATCACTTATTTTTCTCCCAGGGAAGAAGTTTCCTAAGGAAATGTCAGAGGGTTCTGGGATCTTTACCACTTAAAAAAAATTCAGTTGTTTTATCTTTCTTCCCTCTCTCCTCCTCTTTCTTTTTTCTTACTGCTGAAGATTGAACCAGGAATGCCCTACCACTGAGCCACCTCCTCAACCCTTTTTATTTTTTACTTTTAGACGGAGTGTCACTAAGTTAGTTGGTGAGACTAGCCTCGAACTTGCCATCCTCCTGCCTCAGTCTCCCCCATATCTGGGATTATAGGCAAGCACCACCATGCCTGGCTCAGATATTTTATCATTTCATAGGTGGGTTTAAGTCCAAGTCATAAGAACCACTAAAGCCACTAAAGATACTCTTCCTCATCCTCCTTCTCCAGTCCTCTTTTTCTCTATAATTGCTCTGTCCATTTAATCATCTGCCTTCATCCTCACCCTCATTATTCTCCTCCTCTTTATCATCCTCTGACAGCAGAATCCTTAGTTGATTGACACATAGGACTGTACCACAAATAATTTATCTTTCAGAAGCCCTTTCCCTGGATATGTATATTTTTCTCTATCATACTGCACTAATTAATCCAGTTGTGTCTAAAGATCTTATGCAAAAAGTGAATTGAGAAATAATCTTTCCTTTTTCTCAAAGTGTTCACAAACATGTTTGAATATATCATTCTCTCTGGGCTAAAAACAATTTTTTTTATGGCTAACTAATGCTGTCCTTCAGGCAACTTCCTCCAGCTTCTGTTGTTCACATAGAAACCAGAAAAAAATAACAGTGACCCTTGGAGCTAATTAATTATTGTAGGGATTCTGGAGATGAAAGCTCTGTACTTTTACCAAGTAGGCAAATAATTTATTTTGAGATACAGATGGACAAAAAGAGTTAAGAGGAATAAACATCATATCACTTTACTGGACTATTCTCCAAAATACTAAAGATTTTGTAACAACATGGGAAGATATTTATGGCAGGTTAAAGACAGGAAAATACATAATGCAAATGGTATGTAATGTTAAAAATGACATAAAAGTATACTGCAAGTTCTCAGTTACGTAAAGGTGATAGATTTTAATTTTCTTGCACACTTAGGCTTGGAACCTGTTATTTGTATTTGTTGAGACCTGCATTGATTCTATATGAGAGTCAATTGTTATAAATATTTCCTGTGTGCTTGAAAAGAACATGCAGTTTTTGGTTGATTGCAGGGTTTTATGTATAATTTAATACCAAGCTTGTTAATTATGTTCAAATGGTTTATATCTTTACTAATATTTAATCTGATATGTAACACTAAGGAGATGTGTTATAATCTCCCATGATGATTACGTATTGTTTTTTTCTCTTAAATCCTATTTAATTTTGGTTTTATCTATTGTAGGGCAATATTATTTGGTATACATAAGTTTAGGACAATCATTTTAAAATTAATTTTTCTTTTCATTTTGATGTATTTTCTCTTTCATCTCTAGTAATTTTTTGGCTTGAATTATATTTTGTGTGATATAAATGTAGCTACACCAATTTTCTGTCTGCTTAATATAACTTTTGCTTTTTTTTCTTTCAGTCTTTCTGCAATTTTATATTTTTAAATGTGTCTATTATAAATAAAACACATTGACTCTTTTAAATGGTGAATTTAACTCATTTAATTTTATGTTGATTACAGATAGATTTGGATTTTCTGAGTGTTCTATTGTACTCCTTATTTATGTTAATTTTTTCCCATACTTTTCCACCTTCCCTCAAGTGGAAATTCGACTTAATGATTTAAAACCTTTTTTTCTTTTCTAATAAAAACCTATGAATTTCCCCTTAAGTAATTTAAACTTTATCCTATAAATCTGGATGTGTATTTTTCCCCTCCATATTGGGGGGACTGAACCCAGGGGTGCTTTACCACTGAGCTATACCCCAGCCTTTATTTATTTGTTTGTTTTTATTTTTTATTAATTTTTAAAAAATAAATGATAGTGGAATGCATTATAATTCTTATTACATGTATATAGCACAATTTTTCCTATCTCTGGTTGTAATATAAAGTATGTTGACACCAATTTGTGTCTTCATACATATACTTTGGATGATGATGTCTATCACATTCCACCATCTTTGCTAATCCCCTGCCCCCTCCCTTTACCTCCCACCCTTCTGCCCTATCTAGAATTCATTTTTTAAAATAACAGGATCTCCTAAAGTTGAGCAGCCTGGCCTCAAACTTGCAACCCTCCTACCTCAGACTTCTGAGTAGCTGGGATTACAGGCATGAGAACTGTGTCCAGCTCTTTGTTCCAAATATTGGACAAAAGACTTTTGTCCAGAATACATAAAGAATTCTTATAATTCATTAGTAAAAAGACAACCCAATGGAAAAAAAATGGGGAAAAGATTTGCATGGAAAATGTAAGAATGTCTAATAAGCACATGAAAGGTGTTCACTTGGGCAATGTCAATTAAAGCCACATGATACCTTTCATACCTACTGGGATGAATATAAACAAAAAGATGGACAGTAACAAAGACTGGCAAGGATTTGGAAAAATTGGGACGTTCATACATTGCTGGAGGCAATGTGACATGGTACAGTCACTTTGGGAAACAATTCAGCAACTTTTTTTTTTACTGTATTTTATTTTTAACACAAATGTAACATAATTAGTGTAGTAGTTTTACACATTTATGATGTATAGAGTGAAACTTTAGTATAAATCCAATCAAATCCGGGTAATTGACACATCTGTCACCTCAGACATTTATCACTTCTTTTTGTTGGGAACATTCAAAATCCTCTCTACTAACTATTTTGAAATATGCCATTAATTGCTGTCAACCATAGTTATCTTACTTTACTACAGAACATTAGTTTGGTTTGGTATTTTCTAAAAGTTAAATATAAATTACTATATAACCCAGCAAACATTCTGCTCCTTGGCATATACTTGAGATGTAAAAATATAAATCTGTACAGAAACTCATATGTAAATATTGATAGTACCTTTTTTTTTGTATAATTGCCAAAGAAAGGAGAACATCCCAGTGTTCATTAAACATTGAATGAACGAAGAATATTTGATAGGTTAGCATGATGGAATATTATTTAGCAATAAAAAGATAAACTTCAAAATTTATCCTTTGGAAAAAAGCTAGATGCAAGACTATATATTTTATGATTATATTTTTATGAAATGCTCATAAAAAGCAAATATACATAGAGAGGAAAAAGATTAGTGGTTTCCTAGCATTGGGAGTGGGAATTAAGATGGGACATGTGGGATATTCTTAGCATGATGAAAATGTTCTAAACTTGAATTATGGTAATGGTTGCAAAGCTTGGTAAAATTTGCTAAGAATCATTGGAATATATACATCAAATGGGTAAATTTCAAAGCGTACCAACTATATACCTCAATACAACTATTAAAAAGACTACCCCAGTCAACTAGACTAGTTCTGAATATTTTGGAAATTATTTCTTTACATTCTGTGTTAAGATAACCAGTATCATTAAGACTTGTAATGGACATGGCAAAAATTAAACATTCCTAAAAGCCCTCAAGATGAATAGAGCGGACTTCAATATTCAATGTCATGATCATTCCAGAAGGAAAAGGTCCAAGTTCAGTGCTGCAAATCTTTCTGGCTGCCTTCCAAGGAGAGAGGCTGGGATGAACTTTGTCCTAGCATAACGCTCCTTATCACTGATTAACCAGCTCTATAGGACAGTCACTGTGCCAACATTCGGCTTTGCCTGAAGAGAAATATTCAGCCAAGCCTCGGTGAGCAGGAAAAAAATGTCCACTCGCTACCACCAAGCTGCTAGTGATAGCTACCTGGAACTTCTGAAGGAGGCTACCAAGCGAGATCTGAATCTTTCTGATGAAGATGGAATGACTCCCACTCTCCTGGCAGCCTACCACGGGAACTTGGAAGCCCTAGAAATAATCTGCAGCAGAGGGTAAGCTCAACCTGATGGTTCTATAAGAGACAGGGGTTAAGGTAGGATTTTACAGGAAACAGCAAGAGTCAGGGAAGTCAGTGAAAATGCTTTGCCCTCTTTCTAGAATGTCCAAATAACTGGCTTTTTAGAGAAAGAGAGAATATTATATTAGAGATGCAGTCGTTCTCACGGAATTGGCTCCATGGGAGGGGCTCACCCATTAGCCAAAGGCAGAGGATTGACACTGAGCTCTAAGGCATTGTTACTGGCCTGGGGGGTGGGGAGAGTTTAATCTAGTGTCTTTACAAATCTTTTTCATGAAATTTAAATAGTGGAATCTTTAAAAAGGGGGCTGGGCATGGTGGCACAGGCCTGTAATCCCAGCAGCTCAGGAGGCTGAAGCAGGAGGATCAAAGGAGTTCAAAGCCAGCCTGAGCAACTCAGCAAGACCTTGCCTCTGAATAAAATACAAAAAAAGGGCTGGGGATATGGCTCAGTGTTTAAGTGTCCCTGGGTTCAATCCCTGGTACCAACACACACACACACACACACACACACACACACACACCACAAGACGTTGCCATTCTACTTGGTTTTAAGTTGCCAATCTTGCCTTGGCTGGAATAAAGGATGTGTTTTTATATTTTTTAATCTATGCCATTAAAGTCCCACAGTCTTTTATTAGTATACACACCCAGTGCAAGCCCATAATTTTCAAATGGAATTGTTGGCTTTCCAAGTTATAACAAGGACTTTCAACTATAGTAGGGGCTACGTCAACTTCATTACATCTCTAGCCACTACACACACACACAGCCCACACCAAAGGGGTTAGGTAGTGTTGGCCATCATGACCTAAGAGGGGGAAAGAAATAAAGAAAAGTAAGGAAGAAAAGAAGGAAGAGAAGGAAAAAATGTAAACAGGAGAGCCAAGTGAATTCAATTCAATACATATCGCATATTATTAAATGGCAGCCATTTTTTTTCCTAGTCACTGGGGACACTGATCAATAAGAGAAACACAACTCCTGACCTGAAGGTCAGATTTGAGAGGGGAAGACAGATGAGCCATCTAGGACTTGGGTTGAAGAGGGAAAGTAGAGGGTACTCAGGGTTAGGGAAGTTTCTACCGGAGGGGAAAGGACTTCAGCTGGGATTCCAATAAATGAAAAGGTGTTGACCAGGCAAAGGTGGAAGGCAGCGAGACTCCCCTAAGACAGAGCACTGTGCATTCCGGGAACAGAAATTGAGTGTGGCTGGACATGGCTTGAATAGGGACAGGAAGGACTATCATATGTGATGAGACCAGATTACAGAGAACATGGAAAAGAGGAGTTGAACTTAATATCTTAAGGGTCAGGGAAGACAAGTCTTGTGTTCATGCAAAGGGGACAATTAAGTAGTTTCATGTTTACCAAGATTGCTCTGGCAGAGAGAAGATCAGGGACTCTTAATAGTGGAGATGAATTGGACTCGGATAGTGACAGTGAAAATGCGTAGGTGCATGGATTTGAGTGGCAGTTCAGATGTAGAACGGATAGTGATTGACTGGCTGTGGACTGAAGAGGAAGAGGAGGGTCAAAGCTCAGGTGCTGGTTCAAAAAGCTTGTAGATGTTGAGACCCTTAATTGAAATTGGGGGGGCCCTTGAAGGAAAAGCACGAAGAACCCAGGGTCAGGAGAGTTCCTGAGTTCTGGACTCAATAAGGAAAAGAATGAAGTTGGTCTTCCCCACTCCTTTTGTCTGATTTAAGACTTCCTTTCCCTATAAATATATGTATTTACATGTTTATGTAAATATTCATGTACATGTGTATAGTCCACATCAATATTCTTCTATAAGAATATTAGTAGTCAGGGCTGGGGCTGGGGCTCAGCGGTAGAGTCCTTGCTTAGTGGGTGCGAGGCCCTGGGTTCGATCCTCAGCACTACATAAAAATAAATAAATAAATAAAAATAAAAGTGTTGTGTCCAACTACAACTAAAAAATAAATATAAAAAAAGAATATCAGTAGTCAGCAAATTTATTTCTTAGGCAATCCCTCTCTTGGACAGATAGTTTGTTTTTCCTGGTTTGAACAGTGCTGCAATGACTATCCTTACTTATAAAGCTTCACTCATTGTTAATTGAGAAAAAAAAAAATTCTCCAAAGGGAAGTTTTTTGATTAATTGGCCCATTTGTGCTTCTGTGCCAAAATACCTCGAAATGGGTAACGTATAAAGAAGAGAAACATATCTCACAGTTCTAGCAGCTAGGCAGTCCAGATCAAGGAGTCGGGAGTCTCAGTGTCTGGTAAGAGTCCAGTTTCTGCTTCCAAGATGGCACCTTGTTGCTTTATCCTCTGGAGGGATGGAACAGTGTCCTCACATGGTGGAAGAGACAAAAGGGGCAGAAAAAGAGGCAAATAGTCTCCATCAAGTTCTTATATAAGGATAACCAATCCCATACTTAAGAGCTCCACCTAAAGGCCTCACCACTTGGTACTGTGGCATTAGAAATTAAATTTCCCATGAATCTTGGAGAGGACATGGATGTTCAAGCCATAGCAGCCTGTGTGCAAAAGATTCTTTTCGGGGGAGTATTGGTAACTGTCCTTCAGAGAGTGAAGACATGTTTTGTTTTGTTGCCAATATGGTAGGTACAAAATGATGTATCAGGTGTGGCTTTAATGTTCTCTGGTTACTGGTGAGGTTGAAAATTATTATTATTATTATTGGTACCAGAGGATTGAACCCAGGGGCACTTAACCACTGGCCACATCTCCAGGCCTCTTTTGTATTTTATTTAGAGAGAGGGTCTCGAATTGCTTAGTGCCTCACCCAATGGCTGAGGCTGGCGTTAAACTAGAAATCCTCCTGCCTCAGGCTCCCAAGTTGCTCAGATTATAGGTGTGTGCAACCATGCCCGACTTGAAAATTATGTTTATGTTTACTGTTTTGTGAACTGTGGACTTTTAATCTTGTTCCACTTTTATATTGGGATCATCAACATTTCTCATTAATTTATAAAAATGCTTTCTAAAGTTAAAAATATTAACCCTTTTGTCATGTTACAAATATTTTCACACAATTTATAATTTATTTTTTGACAACCAATATTTTAAATATAAATGAAAATATAAATATAAAAATATATATTTTAAGTACATATAAGTCTCTCTCAATCTTTGGTTGGTACCTCTAACTTTGAGTTCATTCATGACTATCGACTGAGATTTTCTTTAGTACTTTTCGTGTCATATTTTAAAAATTTTATTCATATATAAGTTATTTTTCTTTAAAATATAAGGTTATGATTTAACTACACTTGTCCATGTTTTTAATCATTTGTCTCAACAGTTTGTTACATAGTCCACCCTTTTTTTCCACTAATTTGACAAAGCAACATAATTTTTTTTCAATATGATATCAAAATCTAGCCCATTTATTCATAGTTATTAAACATTGGATATGGCAACAAAAATTCTTCTAACCCTGTATTTTTTTTCATTTTTAATTGATTTTTAAAATTTATATATGACAGCAGAATGCTTTACAATTCTTAATACACAAATAGAGCACAATTTTTCATATCTCTGGTTGTATACAAAGTATATTCACACCAATTGTGTCTTTATACATGTACTTTTGATAATAATGTCCATCACATTCCACCATCATTTGTAATCCTTTGCCCCCTCCCTCCCCCTCCCACCCCTCTGCCCTATCTAGAATTGTCTATTCCTCCCATGCTCCCCCTCCCTATCCCACTATGAATCAGCCTCCTTATATCAAAAGAAAACATTTAGCATTTGGTTTTTTGAGATTGGCTAACTTCACTTAACATTATCTTCTCTAACTCTATCCATTTACCTGCAAATGCCATGATTTTATTCTCTTTTATTGCTGAGTAATATTCCATTGTGTATATATACCACATTTTTTTTTAATCCATTCATCTATTGAAGAGCATCTAGGTTAGTTCCACAGTTTAGCTATTGTGAATTGTGCTGCTATAAACATTGATGTGACTGTGTCACTGTAGTATGCTGTTTTTAAGTCCTTTGGGTATAGACCAAGGAGAGGGATAGCTGGGTCAAATGGCGGTTCCACTCCAAGTTTTCTGAGGAATCTCCATACTGCTTTCCATATTGGCTGCACCAATTTGCAGTCCCACCAGCAGTGTATGAGTAACCCTGTATTTTCTAGCCCTTTTTTTTTTCTCAACTTTTGTTTGCTCACTGATTCTACTGCTGCTCAGATTTTGTTTCCTTACCCCAAAGCATTTAAGATTTGCTGTGTTAAATTGATCTGGTATAGGCTAAAAACAAAGTCTTGTGAGGATTTTCAGAGGTCATCTTCCATGTTGACCAGAGTTAATCTTTAGAAACCAATATGAGATCAAATGTCCAATTAGATTTAAAGGAGAGACAAGAGGAAAGAAAGCTAATACCTTGAATTTAGTTTATTGATTATTGAAGAAGTACATTCCAGCCTGATAATTTAAGTGTTTATTTCTTATTACCTGATTGAGTTAGTGGATCCTGTGGTAACTAGAAATTTAAAAACCCCAGCTTTCTTAGAAAGTTTAAAGCCACACCAATTATCACAGCCATCACTACTAGTACAGATGCTACTCAACTTACGATGGGGCTGCACCCTGCCTGGTAAGCCCTCAGAAGTTGAAAATGTATTCAATTACCTAATTGCTAAACATCATAGTTTAGCAAGACCGTACACTGTAGAGCACCAGTTGTTCACTGCCACGATTACATGGCAAACTGGGCAACAAGGCTCACTGCTGCTGCCCAGAATCGCTAAAAAAATACCCCACTGACTATCACTAACCTGAAAAAGATAAAAATTCAACACACAGTTTCTACTGAATGTATATCACTTTTGCACCATTGTAAAGTGAAAACCCTGATAAATATAAGTATTATGACTTGGGGACCATCAAAATGTCCTTCCAGATTTTTTGCTTTGAGCCCATGCATGTGTGCATTTTTCTCCCTACAAAGGCAATCATGGAAATCATA